ACTTAACAATATTGATGATCGTGATGAACTGCTAACGCAAGGTCCACATTTTTGTTATTGCTGAGATTTCTTTAGCGGATGCCCTTTTAAGGCTTGTTTCATTGTCCTCTCAATGCGTTCCTTTTTTGTTGATGTAAATCTAATCTGAGGATCAATATATCTTTTAGAAGACTTTTTGTGGAACAAACTCTTTACTTATTTGGGATTTTTTTTACAATTAGCTACATTATTTATTAAAGATAAATGATGGTGTATTTTAGTCACAGTAGCCTCATCAAATTTGTGAAAATCTATACTTTGTAATTTTCTTTGTAAGATTACTGGTAAATACTTGAAAATACACATTCCGTATACATAACCGCAAACCTCTAAAATCAGCTTATTGTAAACATAAGCAGATGACAGAAGTAAAATAATGGCAACGTCGGTACGGTTCGGGCAGTATAGCCCACGTATAGCCTCTCGTTGTTGCGGTAGGTCAGGTTTTTAATCAAAACATTGAACTTTTTCATCCGTATTTTTGAATTTTCCGATTTTGTGTGCCTTTAACGTGTTTGAGAGCTGTGTAAAGACAATTTTTTGGTGCGGTATATGGTTTGAAACATCTCAAATAGCTTATGTAAGATCTTTACCATAGCTTCTCGGAAATATATCTATTTAACTTTATCATTTTGAGGTTATCTTTATATCATCACGAATATTTAGTGGTTCCCAACTGTAGGATTATATTTTCGGGCAAAAAGTAAGAGATACATAAAAATATATTTTTTAATATTGTACATACTTTCCTGACTGTGTTTCAATTCCAAATCAAAATTAATTCCTGGGTTTCAGTCATTTATTGACTCTATTTATCAATTAAAATACGTTTCGGTGTATTTTTCCACCATCATCATTTTTTATGTGTAGCGTTGTTGCTACTTTAAGCCTTGGCATATATTTTCAAAATTAATTCCTGGGTTTCAGTCATTTATCGTCTCTATTTATCAATTAAAATACGTTTCGGTGTATTGTGCAAAAAAGTTGTTTAACCCTAAACATAGAACAAATACTCTATACCGATAATGAAAAAATACAAAAATTAAAAAATAGACTAGTTGTCCTACTGATGTTAAAACGTCGGAATAATAATTATAATGAAATGTATTCTACGGTGAAAAAAGCATATAATAAGTTGCTGACTACAGTCAGAGCAGAAAATTATGCTAAGAGGATACAAAACTCGGACAATAAAAATAAATGCATGTGGACTATTTATAATGAAATATCAGGTAATTCGAGCAAGCACGATGCCATTATTGATGGAGAGCCAGACGAATTATCGAACAGATATAACGAGTTTTTATTAGAATCTATTCCAGATCTAATTAAAAAAATACCCGATATTGAATGGACGCACAATATCCAGGAAAATCGTAGATCCATATTCTTAAAGCCAGTCAATCAACAGGAAATATTGGAATTAGCGCACAGAATTAAGAACAAACATAGCAGTGGTGACGATCAATTGCTCACAAGTCTTATGCGTCAGATCATTCCGGCTATAACCCAGGTAATTTGCTTTGTCATAAATAACTCACTGAGAGAAGGAGTATTTCCTGAATCTCTAAAGTTGTCTGCAATTAGACCACTATACGAATAAAGGCGATTCTAACATGTTAGATAACTACAGACCCATCAGCCTACTACCGGCTTTCTCAAAGTTATTTGAAGTTGTCATGTCCAAAAGGTTAATGAATTTTATGAAGGAGTCTGATATTCTTTCGCGAAACCAACATGGGTACATGAAGGGACGATGCACTCAAACGGCGATCTTTCAGTTCACACAAGCAATTTTGAGACATCTGGAGGCCGGCGACATGGCTCTAGGAATATTCTTGGATCTTTCAAAGGCATTTG